TGAGTAATATTGCATGAGTTCCTTGTTTTTTAATGCAGCATAGTATTCCATTGTGCAAATATACCACAGCTTCTCTAGCCATTCGTTTGTTGATGGCTAATTTCATTACTTCTCTCTTAAATATCACATGTAGCTCATTTTTGTGGCATCAATTATCTTCTATTATTCTTTTAAATGCTCATCTAAAATTATCTATACCCAGGGTATAATTAGAATAATTATGGTGATAATTTTTTAGCAATATTTTTTAAATCAGATTCCCTTCTAAAATCTAATAAGCCTGTTTAAAAACTCAATCTGAAAGTCCACAGAGATAACAGAAACTTAGAACGCCCATAATTACACACTATCTCAACGCGCCCCCAAGTGTGGTCTCTCTCCTTTAATCAGTGAACACCATTGTGTAGGCATTGTCCTTGCCTCTTCCCCCTTCAGTGTACCTGCCCCCACCAGCCTCTGCATCTAACTCTCACATTCTCCTGCTTGTCTTTCTTTTTTTAATTGGCGTTTTAATGAAAGTGTCAGAAAAGTTGGATTTTCATTCATTCATTACTGCACATTTCCCTCCCTACCCCACCAGCTCACTTTAAAAAAAAAAATCATTCCTTGTTGCATAATTTCCTCCCTTCTCTACCACACACACTCCTCCCCCAGTTCACTTTGCTATCTACCTCTTATTCTATACTATCACCGTACAAATAATGCCTAATCATATATTCTTTTTAAATAATTCTTTCCTTCTATTTCAAGTATTCTCTTCTGTAGTATTCATTATTTATTCCTTCTTTTCTTGATTTCTCCCCAACCCCCATATCTGTCCTGTTTTATAATAATAATGTTTTACAATATTTGTACTTTTGTGACTGATAAAGTTCACTTAGCATAATGTCCTCAAGGATAACCTATGTTGTGTAATGTTTCATTAGTTCCTTGTTTTTCAGTGCTGCATAGCATTCCATTGTGTGAATATAGATAGATAGATATAGATATAAATCTATCTATCTATCTAATAGTTTTTCTATTAATTTGTTGATGGTTCTTCTGATTTTGTAGACTCACTATTGTTAGCTTTACTCAAGTCAATTTTTTATTCTACTAGAGTAGACTTGCTCCACAGAATTTTCTAGGAAGTAATCTTTATGTTAGCAGACCATCAAGATCTGTGGCATTTATTGATAAAGATAAAATACACTAGCCTTAAAAACGGATTACATATTAACATAAAACAAAAATCCTCTCAACTTGACCAGTACTTTTTGTTGTTGTTGTTATTAACTGCCACTGAATTGAGTTCGACTCATAGCAACCCTATGAACAAAAGATCTGAACCCTATTCTAACCTGTGCCATCCTCACACTTCCTGACACACAAGAGCCCATGACAGCAATCGCCTTGTCAATCCACCTGGTTAAGGGTCTTCCGTTCCTATGCTGACCCTCCACCCTTCCAAACATCATGTCCCTCTCTAAGGAACAGCCCCTCCTAGCAATATGTCCAAAATATATTAGGCAAAGCCTCATCATTTTTGCCTCCAAAGAACACTCTGGCTGCACCCTCTCCACATCTATTCATTTTCTTGGCCATCCATAGAATGTTCAGTGTTCTTCATCAACACAACAGCTCAAAGGCATCAATTCCTTTTCTGTCATCCTTATTCATAGTCCACGTCTCAGGTGCATAGCTAGTAATCGGAAAGACCACAGCAAAGCAATGGTCTAAGACCAGTAATTAACATCATAATAAACTGAAAAAAAACATTGAAGTGGTCAAGGACTTTTTATTACTTGGATCTACCCATGGAAAAATCAGTCAATCAATCAAAAGATACACTGCAATGGGAAAATTTGCTGCAAAGGACTTCTATAAAGTATTAAACACAAAAATGTCACTTTGAACACGAAACTATGCTTGACTCGAACCAATAGCATTTTCACTTGCTATATATACATGTAAAATCTGGACAATAAATAAAGAAGACAAAGAATTTATGGTCTTGAATAATTGTGTTAGTGGAGAATACTTCATATAACACAGACTGCCAAAAGAATGTGGAAAAAGACTATCTTGGAAGAAGTACAATTAGAATGTTCCTTAGAAGCAAGAAAGTCAAAACTCTGACATATATTGGATGTTATCCAGAGGCGTCAGTTCTTAGAGCACATGATGTTTGAGAAAAGATAGAGTCAACTGAAAAAAGAAGACTCTCAACAAGACAGAACAACACAGCGGTTGCTGCAATGGGCACGAGTGTGGCAATGGTCCTAAGAATTCCACAGGCCCTGGCAACCATTCATTCTATAATCATCATGAGTCAGAAGAACTGGCTCAGCAGCCCATAACGAAAGTAACAAGTGCACAGCAGAATGTGGTTACTTTGAAACAGGATATTTTGAGAGAAAGTAGATTTTGAGTATGTGTATCAGGAGGAAAGTGAAACTCATTTTAGAATAGTTGAGAAAGGCCTCTCCAAGGAGGTGAGAATGAAGCTAAGAAAGGAAGAATGGTTCTACTTGTAACATACTTAGCCAGACTTTTTGCCTGCTTAACTTTAACTATTTTATCCCTCATAATTGCAAATAGAATTTATATTTTACCTCCCCCAAGACTTGCACTCTGATTTTATTTATTTAGGATAAATACCCTTTTCAGAACACTTTTTTTGAAAAAAATCATTCGTATGTACTTTGTTTCATTCATGTACATTTTATACAATCATTCATATACATTGTGTTTCATGTAATTATTTCATATTTATCAATGCCTTTCATCACCCTGCCTCATCAAGTCCCCATTGCCCCTTGCCTATTTCTTTACATCTCTCTCCCTCGCTACTATCTTTTTTTAGAACTCTTGCCATTTAGGTAGGAGAACCTGCCTGGTTCATTCCTGATCAGTGCATTTCAGTCACAGCCACCACTCATATGTCAGTAGAGAAGTGAATGTTGCTGTGGTGAAAGCAGGATTCAGCACAGCTTCTAGACTATGACAGACTAGAATGAAAAGCCCCCTAGATAATTTTTCTCATTGGTGTAATTTTTCTGTTTTCTTGCTTGTCTTCTTCCTTATTTGCAATATTGTTCCTAAGTATAAAAAAAATTGGAAACCACCTCAATCCTGATCAACAGGAGAAATGCAACATGGTGTGGGCTTCTAGTGAGAAAGAATAAATACATTTCAAGGAGAAAAAAAGGATTACTTTTATGTGAATAAAAAAAGGAAATTGCAGAATTCTATTACAGCACCGTATCACAGTATATTACTGCTCCCAACTCTCAAATGAAAGTGTATCTTTTTTTTTTTATCTCTGTGTTTGATTAAGTCTTTTCTTTTAAAGCAAGGAAATGAAAACATGGCATTTAGGAGACTGGAGAAGGGAAGAATGGGGAGGTAGGTGCACAGGCAGAAACGACAAGATCTCGGTTTGTTCTGGCTCTTAAGTTGAAGACGGGTTCAAGGGACTTGTTTATCATGGTTTTAACTTCCATATGTTTCATAGTTTCTTGTGACTGATAAATATTATATAATTTCTTTCAAAAATTATTCTCAACTGTAACTTAAATATTTCAGGGTTGTCCTCCACTTGATGTCAAATTAACTTTTCAGTCTGTAATAGCATTTTCCCTGAACATAAGCATTTGGGTCCGATGAAACTTCCAAGCACGGCATTTTCCATTTGCACAGGCTATTTTCCTCCATCCTAATGGCCTCCCTTCTTCGCTTCTCCTCTCACTCCTCAGAGTCCACTGCCAGCATTTTATCATATCCTTTCTACTTCAACTTGGCACAGACTCTTCTGAACTCCTAGGCAA